AAGCCTCCACAGAGAGGAGAGGTTGCATCAACTCAGGGAGGGTAGAATGAGGATTACTCAGAGCAAGGAACCGAATTCCCGGAAAAAAAGCCTCACTGGGAAGACATCATATAAATGCCTAGAATGTGGGAAGAGCTTCCACTATGCGAGTGACCTAACTTGCCATAATAGGACCCATACAGGGGAAAAGCCATATCACTGTATGGTGTGTGGAAAGAGATTCAGGCAAAAAGGTAATCTTAAGTCACATGAGAGGATCCACACGGGAGAAAAACCATTTCAATGCATGGAGTGTGGAAAGAGCTTCAATGCAAAAATTAGCTATATCATACATAGCAGAATCCACACGGGGGAGAAACCCTTTCAATGCCTGCAGTGCGGAAAGAGCTTCAGTCAAAAAGCTCCTCTTAAGTCAGACGAGAGGATCCACACGGGAGAAAAACCATTTCAATGCATGGAGTGTGGAAAGAGCTTCTATAGCTCTTCAAACCTGACTGCGCATCACAGAATCCACACAGGGGAGAAGCCCTTTCAATGCCTACAGTGTGGAAAGAGCTTTGCCAGGTCTGGTGGCTTTCATGCCCACAAACAGACCCACACAGGGGAGAAACCCTTTCAATGCCTGGAGTGCAGAAAGAGCTTCAGTCAAAAAGGTCATCTTAAGTCACACGAGAGGGTCCACACGGGAGAAAAACCATTTCAATGCATGGAGTGTGGAAAGAGGTTCAGTGCAAAAAATAGCTATATCGTACATAGCAGAATCCACACGGGGGAGAAACCCTTTCAGTGCCTGCAATGTGGAAAGCGCTTTTCCCGTTCTGATAGGTTTCGTGCCCACAAACGGACCCACACAGGGGAGAAACCGTAGAAATGCCTGGAGTGTGGAAAGAGCTTCTGTACATCCAACATCTTAACTTCCCATCAAGTATGCACAGAGGAGGGAAACCAAATCAATGCACCAAGTGTGGGAAGTGCTTCAGTCAAAAAAGTCATCTTAATACCCATAAAATAATCCACACAGGTGAAAAGCCCTATAAGTGCACCATGTGTGACAAATGTTTCACCAATTCATGGGGCCTCACTTGCCACAAAAGTCTCCATACTGGGGAGAAACCATATGAATGCCGCATGTGTGGAAAGAGCTTCAGTGCAAAAAAAAAAAAAGCTGTAATATACATAGCAGAATCCACACTGGGAGAAACCCCATGAATGCTTTGAGTATGGAAAAAGTTTCAGCAGAAGCAGCAATTTAAGCTTACATAATAGGATCCATACAGGGGAAGAGCCATATCATTGCAAGATGTGCAGAAAGAGCTT